TATTAGTCAGCTTATGTCAGAAGGGTTTTATCACCCCAGAACAATCATCACAAAACAGCCCTTTAAGAATTGATTTGCTGTTTTCTGAAATTGTATGAAAAAGACAAAGAATATACTGTTAAAGTATATACTGTTAAAGACCATGAGGCATAAAACACAGAATTTGTTAAGTTATTGTTTTTAGAAAGAAAAAAACTAAATTAAAGTTAGGGGGACCTAACCTCCATATTTAACAGCAGCCAGGCTTAATAACAGGAATGCTTTTGGAAATTGCATCATTTAACTGCTCTAAGGATGTTTTTGTTCAGTCTGAATTTCATTAACAAGTTTAGACTTTATCAGACAGCAGAGATCTCACAAAAAACACAATTATTCTTCTCGTTTTTAAATGTATAATGCAATATTTTTCTTTAAGTCCTTCATTAAACCAGGGAGTATAGATGTGACACAGCACCCTGCAACTTCCCCACAGGATTCAAAGGCACAAGCAGACAGTGACTTGTCTTTACAGACATGACAGCCTAGTTTATATTCAATGAATCTAGATGATAACACCAGAGGTAAACAAAGAAAGCTCTACTGCTGGAAAACTCTGACTCAATAGCAAAAGAAACATTACTATCATGATGACCTAGGATTCTAGGTTATAAATAAGAAGTTGAAAACACAAGTGAGTTATTAAGCTGTTCTGTTTGTGCTTTCCAAACTCTTCAAAGGATGGATTAGATCTGAATAAAAATACAGTAGACATTGTTGCCAATAGTTAAATTATCTCTGCTGTGTTATTGGTGTACCGTTGTGACAGACAGCTATATCAGCTTTGCCAATTATGATTTAGACCTTGATTTATGAGGCAAATATTTACAGAACATATGTACACCAAAACTTTGAAAATTGAGTGGTTTTAGTGCTAAATAAGCAGAGGCAGTATGCAGTAATTCTTTTGGTTTAAATTGACCCAAACTGGTAGCAGAAAGAAATCAAATCGTAAAATCGAATAAATTATAACATTCTAGAAGTTGAATAAAATCTCTAAAACATGTTCTTCTTTTGCAGAATTAGCTATCACTGCTATCAATGTTCAATCAAGATGTTTTACAGAGGTGCTGCTCCTCTTTCCAGTTTGGTTTTCTCCAACTTTTTCTCTCTGTTCTATGCTTGTCATTTTGCCAAATGCACCTGCTTTACACAAGCAGGCAATTGCGTAAAGTACTGACAGGTGAGTCAATATTAACATCAAACAGATAAGGTATTAAATTAATTCACTAGGGCTGTTAAAGAATTGTATAATGTTTATCTAATTATATATACATATACACTTGTCAGAAAAAGTTGATTTTTTAAATTTCATATATTAATTTATCCTATTAACTCACTATAAAAGTTTTTACTCAGTCTGTTTTACCTACAAGGCCACACAATTCTCTGCATGAGGATATCTGTAGACCACACATAGCTTCTTCCCATAACAAACCAGATTCTTTCTCAAGGATTATTCATAACATGTTATGGTTAACCAAGATGTCTGTAATTTGTTTCTACTCTGACTACTTTCCATTGTTGTAAGTAAGGGGAAACACCCGCTGCTCAGGCAGAACAGGGCTAAATACAGAGCAGCAAGGGCTGTATGATGAACTGTTTTCTCTTTGCAAAGATATGATAAAATAAAGTGCCGACTGAGTGAAATCATCTATATCCATTTATTTAACTAGGGTCAATAGTTGAATACTTTTTTTTCCCACTACAACACATAGATAGATATATGCATATAGATAAATATACATACAGTATATATAGACATTATTATTTGTTTGTTATAGCAACCAGTTAGTTTCACACCTAGCAAAAGGTTCGACACAACCTCCTCATTAAGATAAAACGCCTTTCCTCTCCTTGCTTAAATTGCATAAAAGGATAAAATGAGAATCAAAGATTTGGTCCTACAGTGAGTGCTGAAAAGCCACACCATAAACACAACACGCCGCATACAGAAATACTTTAGTTAGATGTTAAAAAGTTCAAAAAACCTTGAGATCAAATGTGAGTTCAGTGTATATAAACAACAAAACGCAACGGACATAATTTGTGGACTAACAGGTAACAACCATTATAGCAAAAAAAAGAAAAGAAAAAATTATGCAACAAGTGCAGCACAAGCAGGAGCTATACTTGATAAAATGTTTTTTTTTGTCTTTTTTTCTTTGTAGATGTGTTCTGGTTTCCTATACATCACATACAAAATGTTTTGCATCCTGACTACAAGATTATTTCATTAGATTATCTAAAGAGCCTTTATGTTAATCACTGTGTCTCGGAAGGGGAAGATTATCTTTCAGTGTGAACAATACCAAAGCATCAACCTGAATCACCAGTAAAACCCCTTTGAGGAATTTTTAAGGCTAAGTTGAAAGCTCTCTGACAGGGCTATGAGAATCATTATAAAAACAGGCCCATACTGTATGCAGGGGATGAAGCTACGTTTATTATATGAGACCAAAACAAAGTGATAGGATCATTAAAAGCAGGTAAGATAGTTCTAACCAATCATGACTGTGTGGTAATCTTAGCTTTTTGTAAAGAGTGTAAAGTTAAATGAGCTGTACCAAAAAAAAGATTAATTTCAGATTGTTAATTTATGGATCTATTAGGAAGAATAAAAAAAATGATCAGCTATTTATGTTAATGCACATATTTCCCAGGAGCTATTCTTTCATAGATGTTATTGCTGATTTTTCTAATGCCTTTTTTTTCTTTAATTACATTGTATGAGTAATTTGTTTCCAGAATCCATGCACTATCATTATCTATTTATGATTGCATTATGCATATGCCTAAAAAGTCTCAGTACTACAGCTGGTGTTATCATGGAGCCCGGCCGCCTTCAATAGAACCACTTTATTGCTTTGTGCCAAGTACAATGACAGACAGAGAGGATTAAATTACTACTGGTACAGTAGCTCTCTACACCAAAGTAGGGCAAGAATAGCTTGTAAAATACAATGCAAGCCCTAATAACCCACCTGTGGTTTCCTACTCAGCCCTGTTCACAATTCAGGTTTCCTGGGATGAAACACCAAAAAAAGAAAGAAAAAAAGACCCCTTAAACTAAATAAGTAACATTATTCGTAAAAAAATGCATAAAACCACCTAATAAACAGAGCTACGTTAGGATACTGACTATTCAAAATTGTATACACTGTTGCGTATTTTGAAATTTAGGAAAGTTATTTCGTTTTATACTTAATTAATCAGGGTGTAGTCTACAGGAAAAGTTTACCATAGTTTAAACCAGTAATTTAAAACAGAAAATGAAATAAATAAATAAAATGTATGGTCAAACAGCAAGGATCTCTATCCTCAACACCAGTGCTCGCTAAGCCATCAATCACGATCAGCTGGAAGAACATTGAAACATTTCCTGTAGACCCCGAGAAGGATAGAATAAAGCTGGCACATTACCTGTTGCAAAATGACAATATACGGCACTAGGTTTAAAGCCGTAGGGCTGATAGATGATAGCATGTAGACGGTGATGTTGTCAGCTGGCATGGTGACAGCTCCAAGATAAAAGTCAAAAGCTTATAATTTCGATGAGGAATGAGAAGAGGAATTTATTTTCACTGTGGTGAAGGACAAGTGTGCTCGTCTGCTGTGCCACCAAATGCTTGCTCTGTCTAAAAGAGGATATCTGGAGTGCACCACAACACGAACCACGTCACATTCAAAGACAGTTTCCCCGCAAAGAGCCCAATCCATGTTAGCTGTTTTTCACAAAATCTACTACTCAACATAAGGCAGCGACTGAAGCTTCTTTCCATATTGATCACCTTTTGGCCAAAAACAAGAAATGTTTTACGGATGGCCATTTACTCAAGAAAGAAAAGGCCATCTGTTTATTCAAGGAAGAAATGGCCATCACTGCAGATATGCTTTTCATCGGCTCCAAAACTGTGCTCCGCATAGTCCAGCTTTGCCCTAACACTGTTGCGAGGAGGGTTGAGGAAATGTCGGGGCACATGGATTAACAAGCGCTAACTGACTTGTCAAACTGAAAATTTTTCACCCCAGTTTGATTAATCCACTGAAAGTCCGTTTTTGTGACTGGTTATATTTCCCTTTCTAATAATAACTGCTTAATTTCTTTAAGATAGACAAGAGAAAAGCAAAACGTTCGTAAACAACAGCAGGTACGTACGTGGGAAGCAAAACTCTGAGTACCATAGCAAACTCTAGAAGACACTCTCTCATGCTCTTACCTCAAAAATAAGGATGGATTTAAAACCTTTAAAATATGTTTTAAAATTTGACAGAAAATGCTGGGAGTTTAAAAAAAGCTAATTTACAAAACACAACCTTGTTTGCATTAACCAGCATTGCCATGTTTTTTTAATTACAGGAAATATATCTATAAGATTTGGACTTCATATAAAATGCATCTAACATATTTGTTGCTGTTTGCAGCTAAGTGCAATGACATTTTTTCCATGTTTGATGAATCAACCAACAAAAAAATTATACATGCTGATCGTATGCTGCTGCTTTGGACGCCTCTTACTGGCATAGGGAGTAATTTATAGTCTTTTGTTATCTGATCTGTTTCTATTTCAAAAAGAAGTGAAAAAAGTATTGTTTTTAATGCTGTGCCAAACATGTACCAAAAGTTGTTCTATGTACTTTTGATATCCTGAAATAGAAATTCTAAAGTAAAAAAGAGATTGTGTCCTTTCAGTGGCACTTATTCTTCAGGGTTGTAAAAAAAAAACATTAGCTCTACTAATGTGGTGCAGGAATAAGAAGCAGAACTTATAACCAATGGGTGTACAGACATGAAAGGGATAATTGAGGACAAAATGTTTTGATTTTAACTCCCCTCTCAATCTTAGAGAGAAATTGTGAGTCATTTAATAGTTTTATCTGCAGCCACCTGGATTTCATTATTTGTGTCCTTTATGACTCTATAGGCTGTAGGAGAAAAACAAAATCAAAGTTCTGTTACTCACCGAGGCTGAGAGCAGTCCTGAAGGTTGCACATTCTGCGGATTGGTTTTGGCTTCTTGTTTGTTTCGCAGTAACCTCGATGAACCATCTTTGTGTCTCCTTTCTTTCTGCACCCATACTTAGTGTACTGAAACCCTAAGAAAAGAGAAACCCACTTCAGCTATGGACTGGATACCGAATAAAAAGCTATGTTTGTTCAATGCATTTGTTAATTAAAGATACATAAATGAAAGTGGCTATTAGTCGTAGAGCTTCAGAATCAAGATCCTGCTTTCACTCTGTTTCAAATCAGAAGCATCTCTGCCTCGAATCTAAAATACTAGCTGAGCTATTACAGTTATAGAACAGCACCCAAGATTGAGGTGATAATCTGTAAATAAAAAGATCCTCATTAAGCCACAGCATCAGTCATCACAGTGGGCAGAGCTTTTGTGCTCACAACCAGCAGATGGATCCTGTCAGATGATTAATTTGACTAACGTGTAAAAATTATATAAATGAGGCATCACATGATTTATGACCATATTGGCCCCTTCTCTGCCACTACCTGGCTATCAGTTAATCAGGAAATGTTAAACAGATTTTATGGATAACGAGGTATATCAGTAAAATGTGAAGCAAAAAATGTGCTAATCAGAATTTTATGCTCTATTTCTGGACTGGCTTTGAGTTTAAACTGCCAGCATAGATTTATCTTTTAATATCTTTTTACATTTTCACGGTTCTATCTTTATGCTGAGAATGGTCCCTTACCATTTACATTAGGAACAGAGACACACTGCAAACGTAGCAAAGTAACTGCTGTAAAACAGGGTTCTATTATTTTAAACAAACTTAAAATGACTTAAAAGTTTATTCAGCATTTTGTATAAGGAACTTGAAAATTTAGCGCAGTGTACATTAGAACAAGGCTGCCTATTAGTGAATTTCATAAATTCTTACTTAAACTTTCAAAGATTTATAAAATGGTTGTAAATGTCATAATCTAGCATGTTCAGTGAATTACTGGGATGAATAAAAAGAAAATCAGTATGTTACATGAATTGGAAGGACAAACTGAGAATAATTGCTTTATTTGTTCAGCCTTCCTGATATCTGTTGAAAGTCTCACTTTTTATTTTTGTATTCTCGAAGCAGTAAGAGCAAAGAATGTTATTGACAGTGAAGTGTGGTAGGTACAGTATGACATGATCGCTTATTAGTAAAAGACTTTTTTTTAGCTTTAGCCTGATCAATCAGTCATAAATTGAGGCCATTTAAGCAGAAAATAAAACATCCTTTAGACTCCTTCTTTGCCAGAAATACTGAGAACTCTAATGGTGTGTTCGGACAGAACGCATTATGGGCATCAGAGTGTCTGATTTACATGCAAAGTCTACGGGGGACAGCGTCATTCAACTATTTCAATGGTTTGGCGCCTCTTTATCTTATAGAGCTTTTGTACGAGAATGTTCTGAGGACAGGTTTGTAATCAGAACTTTGACTGACTGACTGATTGATTTTAAGACATTTTTAAAAATGGATCCATTTAAACTGGATTCTCATCCCAGTTGAGCAAAAATATCTCAACTGTTAAACTTTTATTTTCCGATACTTACTTCTTTTTCATGTTGTTCTAATGTTAAATTTTTGATGTTGTGATGTTTTGCTTTCTTTTAATTTGTAGACATTTACTGCACTTTGGTCACTTTGGCTGTGAAAAGTGCTCAATAAAAGTTAACTGATTGATCTCTTAAGTACAAGGGCCTGAGGGCCGCTCAACCACAGTTGTAAATGACACTTGGTGTTACAGCCATGAATCTTGTTTTTGGTATCAACAACTTAAATAACACTGTTGCATTTTCCCTGTGGTTCGCATGAAAACTTCAATGCATGTGAGCCTAGCTCTAGGACTTTTCTAAATATTTTATTAAATGTTACATTCAGCATTCGGACTAAGGTTTTTTTTTATTTTTGAGATGAAGTTCTTCCATATTTGCACTTTCTCTGACCATCAATCATACTGTGACTTTAGTAGGACATCCATTATCCATCTAGGCATTATTACATCCTAAATCTTAAAGAGACATTATGTAAGTTTTTACAGAAAAAGTATCTCTAAAAGAGCCTTTTAATCTGACCGTTTATGACAGAGAGATCATTTGATGAGCAGACTGACACCTCAATATTTCTGCACAGACGCATCCAAAAGCCTATAGCCTATGTTCTTGAATTAACTTTGGATTGGTTGGATTGAGTTTCTGCACCATTCCTTTGAATGTGAGGTCAAGCATATACATGTTGGGTGGGTCCAACCTAGCAAACAACTGAAGAGTTATATTCAGGATGGATTTTGAGGATAATAAGAAGTGACTGGCATCCAATTCAACTCAGACAGCAATGGAAACTCCATGTTACTGTAGGTGAAAAAAGTAAACAAAGAAAAAACTTGTTAAGTACGAATACAACTCCTGAGAACGAGCAGAAGAGAGCTGCAGTTCTATGTTTTGGCCACAGTTGGCAGTATCATTAGAAAACTCTAATGCAGGGGTGCCCAACCTTTTTTAAACCAAGATCTACTTTTGAAGTTGATGGCATGCCGAGATCTACCAAGCCAAACACAAGGGATGGGCAGTATTTGTTTTTTATTTGCACAGGTGGATAATAAACAGTAAGTCCAACAAACGGGGAAATGATCAATTGTTTCAAAAAATAGGTTGCAAAAACAGAACTTAACAATCTCATAAGAACTGCACACCATATCACTCACTCACTCACTCACTCACTCACTCACTCACTCACTCACTCACTCACTCACTCACTCACTCACTCACTCACTCACTCACTCACTCACTCACTCACTCACTCACTCACTCACTCACTCACTCACTCACTCACTCACCAAACTATAGAAAAGAGCAGTCAAGATCTCCAGACAAAGGCTGTGCAGTCAAAATCTAAATAAACCAATTGATACACACACAGTCCAGTAGATATGAAAAAATATGTTAGAACTGTAAATTTACAGTCATATATATATATATATATATATATATATATATATATATATTTACTACTTTTCAAGACTGCACTTTAAAAAAAGATGAAATTGTCCAGAGAGCTGTTCCAAACTAAATTTCATTTTTGTTTTACACTTGTGTAAACAAAATGACAAATAAAATCTGTCTAAGTCTAAGATCACTTCAAAGCAGGAAGAAGGAGAAGGGAAGTCCACTATTTCAGAATGATAAACTTCACTGGCAGAGAAACTGGCAGATGGATTAAAATTCGCTTTAGCTTTACCCTAAATTCAACAGGAAAACAGATAAAAATAGGAAAATAGTAAGTCCAAACTATGTGGATGTGAAGATGTAACATACAGCAGAATGGGTTGTTGACTGTTTCTTTAATTTCGGGCAAAAGTTCCTGTGATGTTATGAGCCGGAAAGCTCTTGAACTCCAATACCCAGCATGCAATGGGGCGCGTGGCGTCACGGGTTGGAGGCTAGAGCAAGAGGGCAGTTCTGAATGTAGCTTGCTAATGAAAGGTTCTGTGGAAGCTTGGAAATAAATATACAGAGCAAGTTTACACGCCTCGTCTGTTCTATATAGAATCGAAGAACAACGCAGTTCCAAAAATCTTTCGAAGAATCTGCAAAGGCTCAGCCACCTGACATCGGTGTGCAGCAGTAGAGCAATGTGGTCTGCACCTGCCTCCTCGAGCTGGGCACGGAATAAACACCTCTGAAAACTCCCAGCCCGAACAGAGCAAGCGATCTTTATCGCAATGTCCATGACATGCTTCATATTTAAAATATTGCCGTACAGCTGTTGCTGAATGGTGCAGTGGTTGATCCAAAAAATCTGGGAAAGTTTCAGACAGCTTAAACAGAGCAACGCATCCAGCAGTGCTCCCAACCATAGATGGAGCCCCATCAGTTGTGATAGATGTCATTACTTCATTATCTCTGCAGATTCCTCTTCGCGCTTTAGAGTCCCTGGTAACAACCTAGCAACCGTGGCAAACCATGCCCAGCAATCAGCATGCATAAAAAAGGTTCCCTGAATACTTTTTACTTTTCATTTTATTATTATGAAAATAGACGTTGGCCTCTCGTGATCAATGATTTGATTAGTATTTTTTTAAACTTTTTTTTTTGTCATAGCCATAAATAGGTCTACATTGTTAAACTTCTCGCGATCGACTGAAACTCCACCCGCGATCGACTGGTAGATCGCGATCGACTGGTTGGGCACCCCTGCTCTAATGCCTCTTTAAGAGGATGGGACTAACCATAACAGTCCATGTTTTGTCTGAAATGATAGTTTGGCCTAAACAAGCACACAAATCATGATGATCTCTGAAATATTTTCTTTTTTTTTTTTTACTGACGCTGTTTATTTAAAGTCATATTCAATAGAAAACAATGTTTTCGAAAAGTGAATTTTACAGCGACGGATTTATTGAAACCTTTATTTCTGTTCTTTCATTTTATTCAAACAACTTTAAAATATATAATGGAGAAAGGAAAATAAAGTCGGATAAATTGTTATTTTTTAAATGGGAATTGGCTAAAAAGTATGCTAATGCATACTAATGTTCCATCAGCTCCATTATGCTAACAAATTAATTCATTGAATAAAAATGTTTATGATATTTAAAATATTTATTATGTCTGTAGGATAGGACATATTTGGCTGGTAAATAAGATATTTAAACATTCCCTCTCTTTTGCTTGTTTCTTTATTCATTACCTTTTTATTTTGAGACCCTGAATTAATTTTTTTTTATTAAGATGAGATTAGCATCTCTGAATCTCTTGTGGGGATGGCTAATATCTTTGCTTCAACACACAAGCTTACTCAACTGTTTTTCTAAAGGGCGAAAATTAAATTTGGATTTCAATTATGAGACACTTCCATAGAGGAGTAGGAATTAAATTAGAAAATGCAAATCTTACTCAACAGTCCAAATGTTCCTCCACTCCTTTTTTGATTCAATGATGATTTACCTCCAGAGCAGGGCTTTGAACACGACGACCAGCTCTTCAGAGCCCACTCATAGGTATCATCCTGAATGACATTGTTGTTGTTGACTGGAACAGAGTCTTCATGGATGATGTAATTGTACATTAAAGTGGATCGGGTTTCATTGTCCTTGGGTACAATCTACAAACCAGGAACAGAATAGACAAAGTCTGAATGTTATAGCCTGCTTTTCTATTCAGCAAACCTGCAATAAAATACTAGTGCTGTTCAATTAAACTGTGGATAATTTTAAAAGATGGGGTGGATGGGCAGGATGGTTCATTGCATTGCCTCTTAACGTAACTGGCTCCAAGATAAATAGGCAATTATAAGAGCAGAGGAAAGCTTGATTTTAGCTTGACCTAAGTGGCAAGGTATTGTTAATTCATGATAAAATACATATAATCCAACTAATTGTTGTTTTTCTTCATGGGGGGGAGATCATGTCCAATTAATAAGAAACCTTTAATTTTATCAATCCCTCTGTTACAAATAGAATGTGAGATCAAGACCTTTTTCTATTTATTTGAAATGTTTTAATACATCAGCACATCACCAAAGATCCCAATAAGTTTAAGATGAGCTGTAAAAAAGTTAAAGAGATGAAACATGTATTTTAAGATGTTGCATTTTACTCTAGGAAAGGATGACTCGACTTCTAGTTATAAAAACACCAAATCTAAAATCTCTTTTCCACAGCATCTCTAATACAGCCTGCAGACTTTTCACTAATTGAATACACTCACCAGAACCACCACAGGGTCATGCAGAGGTCCATCAGTGTGCAGCGTCTCCACATCTCCCTCAATGATGTAGTGCCACTCCACGCCAAGGTCAATGAAGCTCCTGGACTTTAGCTGGTCTCCTTTCCCGTTAAGGATGTAATGTCCAGTTGCCTGGTTCTTGATTGCTGCAATCAGTCATTTGTTGTGGGAAATTGTGAGACCAAAGAACTGTCAGAAAACAACTTTAGTAGATTTTATATGCAATACACACTGTATATATGTATATAGGCTGCCCCATTGATCAATTCTTACTAAATGTGCTCTTTATCTTAGTTAATAGGTCTGCTTGTTATCACTGCTCACAATTAAAATAATTACTTTCAAATTGAACATCTTAACTGAAAAAATATTGAGCTTTATTAAAAAGACTCACAAACAATCAGTATAAGGACTGTTATTATCTGGTGCTGACATACTAAGAATTAGGAACAGAAACACATTTTAAAATGCATGACTGTATAATTACATAACCACATAATCTTCTTGCCACCAGTGCAGAGCTTACTCATTGGCAATAAGTTATTGTTAATAAATCCACATGGCAAAGTCTAATAGACAACAACGTGGTAATAAGAAGGTCAGAGGATACTCTCCTTGAGAACAGAAATGTCAGTGGGTGTTTACGTATTGAGTCATGTTGATGAGGGATAGGCCAAATGTGGAGGACAGCAGAGTGTCTCTTTAAGGCAATTGCTGATTCATTGTGATCTGTTTGCCCACAGAAATAGACTTATGCTAAAACATGTCAGACTTTTTCTGAGGTTTTCAGACCTTCATCATGTCCATGAAGTATTTTAATATTATTAGGGTTACTAGAGTTTTTTTTTTTTTTTGATTTTGTTCATTTTAAGCTACAGAAGCGTTTTTGTTCTAAATCCTTGTTTGAAAAGACGGTATATTCTAGCATTTTTTATTTTCTGATTGTAAAATTCACAGTTTTCACCTGTCTTTTTAGCGAGATAAATAAAATATGAGTGCAAATATTAAGTAGAAAAAAATGTACTGTGCTAGCAATATAGTTGAGAGACAGACTGTTGAACTACTTAGGGATTAAATGCCAGATCAAGTTAAAAGAAGGCTACAGAAGGGAGAAGGAAAAAAATAGTTTTGTATACAGATAAATGATAAAACATGTTTTTCTATTTTCTTAAACAAAAACTTGCCTGTATTGTTTGGCCCTATTGATGAGTAAATTGTTTTCAATAATGTTTTAAAATAAGGAACTATCAGACTGAACGGTATCAAAAAAATCTTTTAAAGCTTAGTATTTTTTTAAAAGATTTTTAAATTAGTTATTTTGAATGAAAAATAAATTGCTATAGGTGAAAAATATGTAGCGTGCTATATCTTTTTTGTTTGGACACCAACGGCTTTTTACTTGAGACAGTGAAAGAAGCTCTGTGTTCTTTAAATCTCAGCGAGGTGATTTATTTTCACTGGAATAAACAACATGTTGGAACTTCCCAATACACACTACCTCCGGTTTCTGGCTGTGCTGTTTTTCACCTAAAATGTTGTTATGGGGAAGAATTTAATGAGCACCTGCACAATACTTTGTTTATAAAATATAAATAAATAAAGTCCTTCTTAGCTTGTATGTTCAAATCCCACAGTTTGATGTAAATTCTCATTAGTCAGCACCAGAGAAAACAGTCCAAATTATTCCATTAAAATAAGCAGTTTTCTTTCTTGAGTGTGCTAATCTCACTGTAAGTTTAGGGCTATATATATATATATATATATATATATATATATATATATATATATATATATATATATATATATATATATATATATATATATGAGGCAGTGCTATTTATTTTTTCTGAAGTGTGAATATAATACTGGGTTAATGAGAGAGGAATTCTGAGAAAACACAGCAGTTCAAGGAATAAGCAGGTCAGAAGAATCAGTAATCCATCAGTGTGTCATTTTTAAAGTAATGACAGCAGCAGGAAGGATGTTTACTGATATACAGCAGAGGAACAGTTCTAAAGTTTAGCAGGGCTGTTTGGTTTAGGATGTGCTAATGTTTTACATGAATAGGTCCATTTAGACGCAACAGTGAGACTCAACTTGAAATGTTTTCAACTTGCTTTGATTGTGTTTTGTTTGGTCCAATTTCTGTTCTGCGGTATTGATTTTTCCTAGAGCCACAGGGTATAAAAAATAAAGGTAATCAGTCTTGAAGTGCTTTACTTTCATACAAAGCTCTCCCTGGGCCATCTCAGCTGGCTGGAAGAGTGAAACTATTATCAACTACAAAGAAAAGAGAAAAGTAAAACAAACAAGCAAAGTCAAAGCACATTAATCTATTGTTTGTGTATGTATTCACAGGTTATAAAGCTCATTCTAATCTTGCAAAACAACTCAGCATAGGACTGTAACATATCGCCAACCTTTCCGCAGTTCCACCATCTCAATTAATCTGCTCTTTTCCGATTCTGCCTCAACATGGCAGACCTGAATGTTTGAGAGATAGACTGTTGAAGTCCTTTATTTGCTTTGGAAAGCTGAACAAAGTCATCAGTCATCAATATCCCTAGGTTTGCCAGACTCTCCAAAGATGGAACCGATAAGTTGAGGTGGTGTTCAAGAGCTGTATTGTATATTGGTTTACGCTATATTGTACGCTATATTGTATATTGGTTTTATTTGTTGTGCCATGTGACATGATCGTGGTTTTGGACATTGGAACCTGTTTCCATATTTCCTCTTGACATGATGACCGAAGAAGAGGATACATTTTTGGCTCATAAACATCTTTAAGACCTCTGCAACCCTCCCCTTTTCAGCCAACTGCCTCCACAGGAACTCCCACAGAGGTGTGCCACCGCACTCTGTGTTGAGGACAGTTAAAACCACACAACACACAGAATTATTCTCTCTTTCCCAGGAAGCTGCCTGAGGGTCCACATCGAAAGACGGCACCGCCATGGAGACTCTAAAAAGGCCCAGATCTCCAGAATGATGGCTGACCTTTCAGAACCAAACTCCTGCAAAACAGAAAGTCTCCTAAGAATCCCTTGGTGTGAGCCTCATGGACAACCCCCCCCCCCCCCCCCCCCTTCCTGCTGTGAGCCTGCCTTCTAAGCTGCTGCTGGATGGAAACTCAAGTCTTCCAAATAGACATGGACAAAAAGGTTTGTAGGTCTGGCACATCTAGGAACAGAAAAAACAATGTATTTTGATGATTTTGATCATTTCATTGTTTACTGGTGAGTAAAGACAAAGCTAACAGGATGGACTGCATGCTACCCTTTACCCTTTTTTTATTTCACTAAGGTTTTAACACTGATATAACATTAGTGTTATATAGTGTAATTTAACTAAAGGTTACTGGTTCCTGATTAAGCAAATCATTTAATATAGCATTATTTGGCCAAATAATGTTTTATTCACCATGGGACGATTTATGAAAACCGTCCGAACCGTTCGGTTCGATTCGCGTGTGTTTCGTTCGGTTCATGCGCTGCTCCTTTTTCTCATAGGCGAAGCGTTTACACTCCAGAGCAGAAGGTGGCGGTACTGCGACCAAAGCCAACCACCAGTAGTAAACAAGAAGAAGAAGAAGCGAAGCAGCTTAGCCAGGTGTAGCAGAAAAAAATCAGTTGTTGTGGAGAATTGTGTCGGACTGGCGAGTGGGAAAGAACAGGAGTTGGAAGACGCGCCAGCAGCACTTTATAGGTCTGCTGTATGGGACCACTTTGCATTTAGAGTGACCTACGATGACACCGGAAAGAAAGTTGTGGATAAAAGTGCAACAGTGTGCAAGCATTTTGCAACACATTTTGTTTATGCTAACAGCAAAATGACCAACATGTCATGCTAACCCTGAAATCCCTCATACTCCGTCAGCAACCCCCCCTCCGCCCCGCTGCGCTCCAGACTGGCTGCTCAAAGCAAAGCCTACAGCCCCCACTGTGGCTCCCGTTCGCTCCCCTCTGAGTCCCTTGGAGATGGTAGAGAGCATGCGCGAGATGATTAAATTCAAAGCAGCAAAACATACGGAAATGATCCAGGGTTTCCGCGGATCACTTAAAATAATTACAATCCATTATTTTTGGGGGGATTTTTTCATTAATTTCATAAATTTTTATGGGATTTCGGTGTAACAATCAACATATATCAAATCGAACCGAAAACCGTGACCATGTGTTATGTGCTCCGGGCACATTATTATTTCTTTTGGTTATTTAATTACGTTAATTTGCAGCATTGTGGCCCGCCTATAAATAGGCCGGCGTTCAGAATGTGAGAACGCTCTAGTCCGCCCCACTCCGCCCTGCTGAGACGCAGTTTTTCTTCTCGCTCGGGCTGAAACTGAGACTTGAGGCTGCCATGTGGTAATTTTTGTATTTTTTTGTGCTTTCCCGATTTTGGCCTAGTGGGACCGGTGGTCCTGTTTTTGATCTTTTCTTTAAGATAGGTTTTTCCCTGTTTTTCTTTTTTTTGCTTAGGCCCTCGGCTGTGCCGTTTTGTTCTTTTTTGCCGGCTCACCAGGTCCATCTTTCTGTTAATACTTTTTGGAAGGTTTTGTTTCTCTTTTCTCTTTTTTTTCCGATTCCTTTTTTTATGGGACACGGGATTTGAGGGCCAACTGACCATCTTTTTTCTTTTTCCCTTTTAGGAAAGATCAGAAAAGTGGAGAAGTTAAAAATAAAACTGATTGAACCCTCATCTTCTTTTGTCTCGTGTCCTTAAATATGTTGTGTCTGGTGTGGACCTAACACAACGAAACCGTGAATCGAACCGAACCGTGGATTTTGTGAATCGTTCAACCCCTAGTGTGCATGTCTAACTGCTTGAGAGTTTTGTCTGTTCTTCCATTTCACAATGTTTCTGTGATTTTTCCTTGCACCTTAGGATGAACAGACCCTTTCTTGCTCTGAAGTCAGGTTGTTTTCTGTTCCTCTGGCTAAAAGAAAAAAAACTGCAGAGATGCAGCACAAATTGTTCCAAATGCTGGTCAAAAACCATCAATGTATATTGTTAAGCATCACTGCTTCCTTTAGAAATGTGTGAGGGATCCACTTAATGTGCACCAACACTCCTCACAGATGCTTGCTTTCTAGCAGCGCGTTGATAAGAAGCCGGATGTTGCGGCCCCTCTTCAGCCTGTAGA